TGTGTGTGTCTGTAGTGTGTGTCTGTAGTGTGTCTGTAGTGTGTCTCTGTAGTGTGTGTCTGTAGTGTGTCTGTAGTGTGTGTCTGTGTGTGTCTGTAGTGTGTGTCTGTAGTGTGTCTGTCTGTAGTCTGTGTGTGTCTGTAGTGTGTCTGTAGTGTGTTGTCTGTAGTGTGTGTCTGTAGTGTGTGTCTGTAGTGTGTCTGTAGTGTGTGTCTGTAGTGTGTGTCTGTAGTGTGTGTCTGTAGTGTGTGTCTGTAGTGTGTGTCTGTAGTGTGTGTCTGTAGTGTGTGTCTGTAGTGTGTGTCTGTTGTGTGTGTCTGTAGTGTGTGTCTGTAGTGTGTCTGTGTGTGTGTCTGTAGTGTGTCTGTAGTGTGTGTCTGTAGTGTGTGTCTGTAGTGTGTGTCTGTAGTGTGTCTGTTGTGTGTGTCTGTAGTGTGTGTGTCTGTAGTGTGTCTGTAGTGTGTGTCTGTAGTGTGTCTGTAGTGTGTGTCTGTAGTGTGTGTCTGTAGTGTGTGTCTGTAGTGTGTGTCTGTAGTGTGTGTCTGTTGTGTGTGTCTGTTGTGTGTCTGTAGTGTGTGTCTGTAGTGTTTGTCTGTAGTGTGTGTCTGTAGTGTGTGTCTGTAGTGTGTGTCTGTTGTGTGTGTCTGTTGTGTGTGTCTGTAGTGTGTGTCTGTAGTGTGTCTGTAGTGTGTGTCTGTAGTGTGTGTCTGTAGTGTGTCTGTAGTGTGTGTCTGTAGTGTGTGTCTGTAGTGTGTGTCTGTAGTGTGTCTGTAGTGTGTGTCTGTAGTGTGTGTCTGTAGTGTGTGTCTGTAGTGTTTGTCTGTAGTGTGTGTCTGTAGTGTGTGTCTGTAGTGTGTGTCTGTTGTGTGTGTCTGTAGTGTGTCTGTTGTGTGTGTCTGTAGTGTGTCTGTAGTGTGTGTCTGTAGTGTGTGTCTGTTGTGTGTGTCTGTAGTGTTTGTCTGTAGTGTGTCTGTTGTGTGTGTCTGTAGTGTGTCTGTAGTGTGTGTCTGTAGTGTGTCTTTTGTGTGTGTCTGTAGTGTGTCTGTACTGTGTGTCTGTAGTGTGTGTCTGTAGTGTGTGTCTGTAGTGTGTGTCTGTAGTGTGTCTGTAGTGTGTCTTTTGTGTGTGTCTGTAGTGTCTGTCTGTAGTGTGTCTGTAGTGTGTCTGTAGTGTGTGTCTGTGTGTCTGTTGTGTGTGTCTGTAGTGTGTGTCTGTTGTGTGTGTCTGTAGTGTGTCTGTTGTGTGTGTCTGTAGTGTGTGTCTGTAGTGTGTGTCTGTAGTGTGTCTGTAGTGTGTGTCTGTAGTGTGTGTCGGTAGTGTGTGTCTGTTGTGTGTGTCTGTAGTGTTTGTCTGTAGTGTGTCTGTTGTGTGTCTGTTGTGTGTCTGTAGTGTGTCTGTAGTGTGTGTCTGTAGTGTGTCTGTAGTGTGTCTGTGTGTGTCTGTTGTGTGTGTCTGTTGTGTGTCTGTTGTGTGTGTCTGTAGTGTGTCTGTAGTGTATGTCTGTAGTGTGTGTCTGTTGTGTGTGTCTGTAGTGTGTCTGTAGTGTGTGTCTGTAGTGTGTGTCTGTAGTGTGTCTGTAGTGTGTGTCTGTAGTGTGTGTCTGTAGTGTGTGTCTGTTGTGTGTGTCTGTAGTGTGTGTGTCTGTAGAGTGTGTGTGTGTGTGTGTGTGTGTGTCTGTAGTGTGTCTGTAGTGTGTCTGTTGTGTGTGTCTGTAGTGTGTGTCTGTTGTGTGTGTCTGTAGTGTGTGTCTGTAGTGTGTCTGTAGTGTGTGTCTGTAGTGTGTGTCTGTTGTGTGTGTCTGTTGTGTGTGTCTGTAGTGTGTGTCTGTAGTGTGTCTGTAGTGTGTGTCTGTAGTGTGTCTGTAGTGTGTGTCTGTAGTGTGTGTCTGTAGTGTGTGTCTGTAGTGTGTGTCTGTAGTGTGTGTCTGTAGTGTGTGTCTGTAGTGTGTCTGTAGTGTGTGTTCTGTAGTGTGTGTCTGTAGTGTGTGTCTGTAGTGTTGTGTCTGTAGTGTGTGTCTGTAGTGTGTGTCTGTAGTGTGTGTCTGTAGTGTGTGTCTGTTGTGTGTGTCTGTAGTGTGTGTCTGTTGTGTGTGTCTGTAGTGTGTGTGTCTGTGTTGTGTGTCTGTAGTGTGTGTCTGTAGTGTGTTGTCTGTAGTGTGTGTCTGTAGTGTGTGTGTGTCTGTAGTGTGTCTGTTGTGTGTGTCTGTAGTGTGTGTCTGTAGTGTGTGTGTGTGTCTGTAGTGTGTCTGTAGTGTGTGTCTGTAGTGTGTGTCTGTAGTGTGTCTGTAGTGTGTGTCTGTAGTGTGTGTCTGTAGTGTGTGTCTGTAGTGTGTGTCTGTAGTGTGTCTGTAGTGTGTGTCTGTTGTGTGTGTCTGTAGTGTGTCTGTTGTGTGTGTCTGTAGTGTGTCTGTAGTGTGTGTCTGTAGTGTGTCTGTAGTGTGTGTCTGTAGTGTGTGTCTGTTGTGTGTGTCTGTAGTGTGTGTCTGTAGTGTGTCTGTAGTGTGTCTTTAGTGTGTGTCTGTAGTGTGTGTGTTGTGTGTGTTGTGTCTGTAGTGTGTGTCTGTAGTGTGTCTGTTGTGTGTGTCTGTAGTGTGTCTGTTGTGTGTGTCTGTAGTGTGTCTGTTGTGTGTGTCTGTAGTGTGTCTGTAGTGTGTGTCTGTAGTCTGTAGTGTGTCTGTAGTGTGTCTGTAGTGTGTGTCTGTAGTGTGTCTGTAGTGTGTGTCTGTAGTGTGTCTGTGTGTGTCTGTAGTGTGTCTGTAGTGTGTGTCTGTAGTGTGTGTCTGTAGTGTGTGTCTGTAGTGTGTGTCTGTAGTGTGTGTCTGTAGTGTGTGTCTGTAGTGTGTCTGTAGTGTGTGTCTGTAGTGTGTGTCTGTTGTGTGTGTCTGTAGTGTGTGTCTGTAGTGTGTGTGTTGTCTGTGTGTCTGTAGTGTCTGTAGTGTGTGTCTGTAGTGTGTGTCTGTAGTGTGTGTCTGTTGTGTGTGTCTGTAGTGTGTGTCTGTAGTGTGTCTGTAGTGTGTGTCTGTAGTGTGTCTGTAGTGTGTGTCTGTAGTGTGTGTCTGTTGTGTGTGTCTGTAGTGTGTGTCTGTAGTGTGTGTCTGTAGTGTGTGTCTGTAGTGTGTGTCTGTAGTGTGTCTGTTGTGTGTGTCTGTAGTGTGTGTCTGTAGTGTGTGTCTGTTGTGTGTGTGTAGTGTCTGTAGTGTGTGTCTGTAGTGTGTGTCTGTAGTGTGTGTCTGTAGTGTGTGTGTCTGTAGTGTGTGTCTGTAGTGTGTGTCTGTAGTGTGTGTCTGTAGTGTGTGTCTGTAGTGTGTGTCTGTAGTGTGTGTCTGTAGTGTGTGTCTGTAGTGTGTGTCTGTAGTGTGTGTCTGTAGTGTGTGTCTGTTGTGTGTGTCTGTTGTAGTGTGTCTGTTGTGTGTGCTGTAGTGTGTCTGTTGTGTGTGTCTGTAGTGTGTGTCTGTAGTGTGTCTGTAGTGTGTGTCTGTAGTGTTTGTCTGTAGTGTGTGTCTGTAGTGTGTGTCTGTAGTGTGTGTCTGTTGTGTGTGTCTGTAGTGTGTGTCTGTAGTGTGTGTCTGTAGTGTGTGTCTGTAGTGTGTCTGTAGTGTGTGTCTGTAGTGTTTGTCTGTAGTGTGTGTCTGTAGTGTGTGTCTGTTGTGTGTGTCTGTAGTGTGTGTCTGTAGTGTGTGTCTGTAGTGTGTCTGTAGTGTGTGTCTGTAGTGTGTGTCTGTAGTGTGTGTCTGTAGTGTGTGTCTGTAGTGTGTGTCTGTAGTGTGTGTCTGTAGTGTGTGTCTGTAGTGTGTGTCTGTAGTGTGTGTCTGTAGTGTGTGTGTGTGTGTCTGTGTGTGTGTGTGTGTAGTGTGTCTGTAGTGTGTCTGTTGTGTGTGTCTGTAGTGTGTCTGTAGTGTGTGTCTGTAGTGTGTCTGTAGTGTGTGTCTGTAGTGTGTCTGTTGTGTGTGTCTGTAGTGTGTGTCTGTAGTGTGTGTCTGTAGTGTGTGTCTGTTGTGTCTGTAGTGTGTGTTGTGTGTGTCTGTAGTGTGTGTCTGTAGTGTGTGTCTGTAGTGTGTTGTCTGTAGTGTGTGTCTGTAGTGTGTCTGTAGTGTGTGTCTGTAGTGTGTCTGTTGTGTGTGTCTGTAGTGTGTGTCTGTAGTGTGTCTGTAGTGTGTCTGTAGTGTGTGTCTGTAGTGTGTCTGTAGTGTGTGTCTGTAGTGTGTGTCTGTAGTGTCTGTGTGTGTCTGTAGTGTGTCTGTAGTGTGTGTCTGTAGTGTGTCTGTAGTGTGTGTCTGTAGTGTGTGTCTGTTGTGTGTGTCTGTAGTGTGTGTCTGTAGTGTGTGTCTGTAGTGTGTGTTGTGTGTGTCTGTAGTGTGTGTCTGTAGTGTGTCTGTAGTGTGTGTCTGTAGTGTGTGTCTGTAGTGTGTGTCTGTAGTGTGTCTGTTGTGTGTGTCTGTAGTGTGTGTCTGTAGTGTGTGTCTGTAGTGTGTGTCTGTAGTGTGTGTCTGTAGTGTGTGTCTGTAGTGTGTGTCTGTAGTGTGTCTCGGTGTGTGTCTGTCCGGGTCGACCTGGGCCTCAGTGGGTCTGTGTGTGTCTGTAGTGTGTTGGTCCGGGTCGACCTGGGCCTCAGTGGGTCTGGTCCGGGACGACCTGGGCCTCAGTGGGTCTGGTCTGGGACGACCTGGGCCTCAGTGGGTCTGGTCCGGGACGACCTGGGCCTCAGTGGGTCTGGTCCGGGACGACCTGGGCCTCAGTGGGTCTGGTCCGGGACGACCTGGGCCTCAGTGGGTCTGGTCCGGGTCGACCTGGGCCTCAGTGGGTCTGGTCCGGGTCGACCTGGGCCTCAGTGGGTCTGGTCCGGGACGACCTGGGCCTCAGTGGGTCTGGTCTGGGACGACCTGGGCCTCAGTGGGTCTGGTCTGGGACGACCTGGGCCTCAGTGGAGTTTGCATGTTCTCTCTGTGTTTCCTCCACTAAAAACAACCACATCAGAAGGATCCATTTATTTACACTTCAGAATCAAACCAACATCCCAGACACAGGGGGGAGGAGAGGGAGGCAGGAGGGGAGAGGGGGAGGAGAGGGAGGGCAGGAGGGGAGAGGGGGAGGAGAGGGAGGCAGGAGGGGAGAGGGGGAGGAGAGGGAGGCAGGGGGGGAGGGGGGGAGGAGAGGGAGGCAGGAGGGGAGAGGGGGAGGAGAGGGAGGCAGGAGGGGGGGAGATGGGGGAGGAGAGGGAGGCAGGAGGGGAGAGGGGGAGGAGAAGGAGGCAGGGGGGGAGAGGGGGAGGAGAGGGAGGCAGGGGGGGAGAGGGGGAGGAGAGGGAGGCAGGAGGGGAGGGGGGGAGGAGAGGGAGGCAGGAGGGGGGGGAGATGGGGGAGGAGAGGGAGGCAGGAGGGGGGGGAGATGGGGGAGGAGAGGGAGGCAGGAGGGGGGGGAGATGGGGGAGGAGAGGGAGGCAGGAGGGGGGGGAGATGGGGGAGGAGAGGGAGGCAGGAGGGGAGAGGGGGAGGAGAGGGAGGCAGGAGGGGAGAGGGGGAGGAGAGGGAGGCAGGAGGGGAGAGGGGGAGGAGCTAAAACCACACAGTTCACCATCAGGCGTTCATTTAAATACAGACAATATTTTTATAAAATTTTACAAAAGTCGACGCTCAGTGAATCTCATGAGGCACAAGTTCAGAGTCAGAGAAACTCCAGCACCAGGAGAGAGAGGGGGGAGAGAGAGGGGGGAGAGAGAGGGGGGAGAGAGGAGAGAGAGAGGAGAGAGAGAGGAGAGAGAGGGGGGAGAGAGGTGAGAGAGAGGAGAGAGAGAGGAGAGAGAGAGGAGAGAGAGAGAGGGGGGAGAGGTGAGAGAGAGGGGAGAGAGGGGAGAGAGAGGGGGGAGAGAGGAGAGAGAGAGGAGAGAGAGAGAGGGGGGAGAGGTGAGAGAGAGGGGAGAGAGGGGAGAGAGAGGGGGGAGAGAGGAGAGAGAGAGGAGAGAGAGAGAGGGGGGAGAGGTGAGAGAGAGGGGAGAGAGGGGAGAGAGAGGGGGGAGAGAGGAGAGAGAGAGGAGAGAGAGAGGAGAGAGAGGGGGGGGAGAGAGGGGGGAGAGAGGTGAGAGAGAGGAGAGAGAGAGGAGAGAGAGAGAGGGGGGAGAGAGGTGAGAGAGAGGGGAGAGAGGTGAGAGAGGAGAGACTCTGACCCACAGAGACCTGGACTCTGGTCCTTTGGTCGTAACGTCGTGTAAACTCCAAAAATAAACATTTTCAATACATTTTTTTTTTGTCTCCGGTCATTTCTCTACATTTGATCTGTTTAAAACCCCAGATATACTCCACACACACAAACACCTGCCAAGAGGCAATCTGTACACAGTCTGTGTTAGCATTAGCATCTGTACACAGTCTGTGTTAGCATTAGCATCTGTACACAGTCTGTGTTAGCATTAGTATCTGTACACAGTCTGTTAGCATTAGCATCTGTACACAGTCTGTTAGCATTAGCATCTGTACACAGTCTGTTAGCATTAGCATCTGTACACAGTCTGTGTTAGCATTAGCATCCGTATAGTCTGTGACATCACCAGGTAAGAACTTAAAGATATGTTTAACAGTGATTGCCCGTCTCTGATTGGACGACGTGTGGGACAGTTTTTGGCAGAGGACGGAGCAGTTTATGGCAAATACACAAATAACAGAGAGCAACAATAGCATCAGGATTTGGCAGCTACATGTGGGCGTGGCCAGGTTCTCCGTGGGCGTGGCCAGGCTCACCACATGCTCTGATAATATGGTCCCAGTTCTGCACCAGAGAGAGACCAGCGAGAGAGACCAGAGAGAGAGACCAGAGAGAGACCAGAGAGAGAGACCAGAGAGAGAGAGACCAGAGAGAGACCAGCGAGAGAGAGACCAGCGAGAGAGACCAGCGAGAGAGACCAGAGAGAGAGACCAGAGAGAGAGAGACCAGAGAGAGAGAGACCAGAGAGAGAGAGACCAGAGAGAGAGACCAGAGAGAGAGACCAGAGAGAGACCAGAGAGACCAGAGAGAGACCTCAGAACTAGACCTTGGTCCACATAAGTTTACTTTAATTAAGAAAACGGTCCTGTTCCTGGCGGTGATGATGTTGGAGTGAAGACCCGCGAGAGGAGCACAAAGAGAACAGCCAGGCCCACATGGTCCGGCCACATGGTCTCGGTCCTTTACATCCTTTAAGTCTTGGCCCTGGTCCCAGTCCCCCACATCAGAGTCCTGGTCTCGGCCCTGGTCTCAGTCCCCCACGTCAGAGTCCTGGTCTCGGCCCTGGTCTCAGTCCCCCACGTCAGAGTCCTGGTCTCGGTCCTGGTCTCAGTCCCCCACGTCAGAGTCCTGGTCTCGGCCCTGGTCTCAGTCCCCCACGTCAGAGTCCTGGTCTCGGCCCTGGTCTCAGTCCCCCACGTCAGAGTCCTGGTCTCGGCCCTGGTCTCAGTCCCCCACGTCAGAGTCCTGGTCTCGGCCCTGGTCTCAGTCCCCCACGTCAGAGTCCTGGTCTCGGCCCTGGTCTCAGTCCCCCACGTCAGAGTCCTGGTCTCGGCCCTGGTCTCAGTCCCCCACGTCAGAGTCCTGGTCTCGGCCCTGGTCTCAGTCCCCCACGTCAGAGTCCCACGTCAGGTCTCGGCCCTGGTCTCAGTCCCCCACGTCAGAGTCCTGGTCTCGGCCCTGGTCTCAGTCCCCCACGTCAGAGTCCTGGTCTCGGTCCTGGTCTCAGTCCCCCACGTCAGAGTCCTGGTCTCGGCCCTGGTCTCAGTCCCCCACGTCAGAGTCCTGGTCTCGGCCCTGGTCTCAGTCCCCCACGTCAGAGTCCTGGTCTCGGTCCTGGTCTCGGCCCTGGTCTCGGCCCTGGTCTCAGTCCCCCACGTCAGAGTCCTGGTCTCCGATGAGCCAGAGGAAGTGGAAGCTGAAGGCTAGCAGCGCAGTGCCGAGCAGGTCTCCCAGAGCGGTCAGGTACGGGATGGAGAAACTGTCCGGGTCTTTCCCGCTGCGCCACATGGAGTGGACCATCCAGTCTGAGATACACAGCAGCAGCAGCACCTGGAGGAAACCCACACACAGGTCACACACAGGTCACACACAGCAGCACCTGGAGGAAACCCACACACAGGTCACACACAGCAGCACCTGGAGGAAACCCACACAGGTCACACACAGCAGCACCTGGAGGAAACCCACACAGGTCACACACAGCAGCACCTGGAGGAAACCCACACACAGGTCACACACAGCAGCACCTGGAGGAAACCCACACACAGGTCACACACAGCAGCACCTGGAGGAAACCCACACAGGTCACACACAGCAGCACCTGGAGGAAACCCACACACAGGTCACACACAGCAGCACCTGGAGGAAACCCACACAGGTCACACACAGCAGCACCTGGAGGAAACCCACACACAGGTCACACACAGCAGCACCTGGAGGAAACCCACACACAGGTCACACACAGCAGCACCTGGAGGAAACCCACACACAGGTCACACACAGCAGCACCTGGAGGAAACCCACACACAGGTCACACACAGCAGCACCTGGAGGAAACCCACACACAGGTCACACACAGCAGCACCTGGAGGAAACCCACACACAGGTCACACACAGCAGCACCTGGAGGAAACCCACACACAGGTCACACACAGCAGCACCTGGAGGAAACCACACACAGGTCACACACAGCAGCACCTGGAGGAAACCCACACTCACACGAGGAAAATCACACACAGCAGCACCTGGAGGAAACCCACACACAGGTCACACACACAGCAGCACCTGGAGGAAACCCACACAGGTCACACACAGCAGCAACCTGGAGGAAACCCACACACAGGTCACACACAGCAGCACCTGGAGGAAACCCACACACAGGTCACACACAGAGCAGCACCTGGAGGAAACCCACACACAGGTCACACACAGCAGCACCTGGAGGAAACCCACACACAGGTCACACACAGCAGCACCTGGAGGAAACCCACACACAGGTCACACACAGCAGCACCTGGAGGAAACCCACACACAGGTCACACACAGCAGCACCTGGAGGAAACCCACACACAGGTCACACACAGCAGCACCTGGAGGAAACCCACACACAGGTCACACACAGCAGCACCTGGAGGAAACCCACACACAGGTCACACACAGCAGCACACCTGGAGGAAACCCACACAGGTCACACACAGCAGCACACCTGGAGGAAACCCACACACAGGTCACACACAGCAGCAGCACCTGGAGGAAACCCACACACAGGTCACACACAGCAGCACCTGGAGGAAACCCACACACAGGTCACACACAGCAGCACCTGGAGGAAACCCACACACAGGTCACACACAGCAGCACCTGGAGGAAACCCACACACAGGTCACACACAGCAGCACCTGGAGGAAACCCACACACAGGTCACACACAGCAGCACCTGGAGGAAACCCACACACAGGTCACACACAGCAGCACCTGGAGGAAACCCACACACAGGTCACACACAGCAGCACCTGGAGGAAACCCACACACAGGTCACACACAGCAGCACCTGGAGGAAACCCACACACAGGTCACACACAGCAGCACCTGGAGGAAACCCACACACAGGTCACACACAGCAGCACCTGGAGGAAACCCACACACAGGTCACACACAGCAGCACCTGGAGGAAACCCACACACAGGTCACACACAGCAGCACCTGGAGGAAACCCACACACAGGTCACACACAGCAGCACCTGGAGGAAACCCACACACAGGTCACACACAGCAGCACCTGGAGGAAACCCACACACAGGTCACACACAGCAGCACCTGGAGGAAACCCACACACAGGTCACACACAGCAGCACCTGGAGGAAACCCACACACAGGTCACACACAGCAGCACCTGGAGGAAACCCACACACAGGTCACACACAGCAGCACCTGGAGGAAACCCACACACAGGTCACACACAGCAGCACCTGGAGGAAACCCACACACAGGTCACACACAGCAGCACCTGGAGGAAACCCACACACAGGTCACACACAGCAGCACCTGGAGGAAACCCACACAGGTCACACACAGCAGCACCTGGAGGAAACCCACACACAGGTCACACACAGCAGCACCTGGAGGAAACCCACACACAGGTCACACACAGCAGCACCTGGAGGAAACCCACACACAGGTCACACACAGCAGCACCTGGAGGAAACCCACACACAGGTCACACACAGCAGCACCTGGAGGAAACCCACACACAGGTCACACACAGCAGCACCTGGAGGAAACCCACACACAGGTCACACACAGCAGCACCTGGAGGAAACCCACACAGGTCACACACAGCAGCACCTGGAGGAAACCCACACACAGGTCACACACAGCAGCACCTGGAGGAAACCCACACACAGGTCACACACAGCAGCACCTGGAGGAAACCCACACACAGGTCACACACAGCAGCACCTGGAGGAAACCCACACAGGTCACACACAGCAGCACCTGGAGGAAACCCACACACAGGTCACACACAGCAGCACCTGGAGGAAACCCACACACAGCAGCACACCCACACAGCAGCACCTGGAGGAAACCCACACACAGGTCACCACACAGCAGCACCTGGAGGAAACCCACACACAGGTCACACACAGCAGCACCTGGAGGAAACCCACACACAGGTCACACACAGCAGCACCTGGAGGAAACCCACACACAGGTCACACACAGCAGCAGCACCTGGAGGAAACCCACACACAGGTCACACACAGCAGCACCTGGAGGAAACCCACACAGGTCACACACAGCAGCACCTGGAGGAAACCCACACACAGGTCACACACAGCAGCACCTGGAGGAAACCCACACACAGGTCACACACAGCAGCACCTGGAGGAAACCCACACACAGGTCACACACAGCAGCACCTGGAGGAAACCCACACAAGGTCACACACAGCAGCACCTGGAGGAAACCCACACACAGGTCACACACAGCAGCACCTGGAGGAAACCACCCACACAGGTCACACACAGCAGCACCTGGAGGAAAACCACACAGGTCACACACAGCAGCACCTGGAGGAAACCCACACACAGGTCACACACAGCAGCACCTGGAGGAAACACACACAGGTCACACACAGCAGCACCTGGAGGAAACACACACACAGCAGCACCTGGAGGAAACCCACACAGGTCACACACAGCAGCACCTGGAGGAAACACACACACAGCAGCACCTGGAGGAAACCCACACAGGTCACACACAGCAGCACCTGGAGGAAACACACACAGCAGCACCTGGAGGGAATTAAAGGCCCTTGTGTTAAAGATAGCAAACAGAACTTTCATTTTATACTGATAGTTAGAGGTGGAGAGACCAGAGAAAGACCAGAGAAACACCAGAGAGACCAGAGAAACACCAGAGAGACCAGAGAAACACCAGAGAGACCAGAGAAAGACCAGAGAGAGAGACCAGAGAGAGACTAGTCCTAACAGTGTTGATGGTGTTTACAGTGATACTAGTCCTAACAGTGTTGCTGGTGTCTACAGGGTTGCTGGTGTTCACAGTGTTGCTGGTGCGTGGCTGGTGCGTTGCTGGTGTGTTGCTGGTACCTGTAGCAGGGCGGCTGACAGGTACACAGACATGAAGATGGGGGTGAGGGTGGTGTGGCCGCTCTTCATCAGGTGGATGGTGTAGAGGAAGATGAGGTGACCTGGAACCACCAGCAGGAGGAGCACCTGAGCCGATCGATGGTTCGCCCCTAACACCAGAAACACACAAACCTGATGTCAAAAAAGGAACTAGGGAGGAACCAGAGAGGGACCAGTGAGGGACCGGAGAGGGACCAGAGAGGGACCAGGGAGGGGACCAGAAAGAGACAAGAGAGAGACCAAAACAAGACCAGAGAGAGACCAGGTGAGAGAAAAGAGAGCGACCAGGTGAGAGACAAGAGAGACCACAGAGGGACCAGAGACCACTGGTTCTGGTATGAGACAGATGGTAGTGACCTGAGCCGAAGAAGGTGCGGCAGGGGTAGTAACAGCCCTTGGCCTCGTCGGGGACCTCTCCTGGAGCACAGTGGAAGTGCAGGTGTGTGGAGAAACGACTGGACTGGATGGCCACCAGGTTCCCACCAATACCTGAACACACACACACAGACAGACACACACACAGACACAGACACACACACAGACACACACACAGACACAGACACACACACAGACACAGACACACACACAGACACACACACAGACACACACACAGACACACACAGACACACACACAGACACACACACAGACACAGACGCAGACACAGACACACACAAACAGACAAAGACACACACACACACACACAGACACACACACAGACACAGACAAAGACACACAGAGACACACAGACACAGACGCAGACAGACACACACACACAGACACACAGACAAAGACACACACACACACACACAGACAGACACACAGACAAAGACACACACACACAGACACAGACACACACACAAAGACACACAGACACACACACACACACAGACACAGACACAGACACACACACTTTAAATACCTTCCTGGTTGTTGCTCTCAGATAAAAAAAAAACAAATGATCTTCAATTTCATGACGGGTCTTTCCCTCTCGGGTCTCCCTCTCGGGTCTCCCTCTCGGGTCTCCCTCTCGGGTCTCCCTCTCTGGTCTCCCTCTCTGGTCTCCCTCTCTGGTCTCCCTCTCTGGTCTCCCTCTCTGGTCTCCCTCTCTGGTCTCCCTCTCTGGTCTCCCTCTCTGGTCTCCCTCTCTGGTCTCCCTCTCTGGTCTCCCTCTCTGGTCTCCCTCTCTGGTCTCCCTCTCTGGTCTCCCTCTCTGGTCTCCCTCTCTGGTCTCCCTCTCTGGTCTCCCTCTCTGGTCTCCCTCTCTGGTCTCCCTCTCTGGTCTCCCTCTCTGGTCTCCCTCTCTGGTCTCCCTCTCTGGTCTCCCTCTCTGGTCTCCCTCTCTGGTCTCCCTCTCTGGTCTCCCTCTCTGGTCTCCCTCTCTGGTCTCCCTCTCTGGTCTCCCTCTCTGGTCTCCCTCTCTGGTCTCCCTCTCTGGTCTCCCTCTCTGGTCTCCCTCTCTGGTCTCCCTCTCTGGTCTCCCTCTCTGGTCTCCCTCTCTGGTCTCCCTCTCTGGTCTCCCTCTCTGGTCTCCCTCTCTGGTCTCCCTCTCTGGTCTCCCTCTCTGGTCTCCCTCTCTGGTCTCCCTCTCTGGTCTCCCTCTCTGGTCTCCCTCTCTGGTCTCCCTCTCTGGTCTCCCTCTCTGGTCTCCCTCTCTGGTCTCCCTCTCTGGTCTCCCTCTCTGGTCTCCCTCTCTGGTCTCCCTCTCTGGTCTCCCTCTCTGGTCTCCCTCTCTGGTCTCCCTCTCTGGTCTCCCTCTCTGGTCCCTCTCTCTCTGGTCTCTCTCTCTGGTCTCTCTCTCTGGTCTCTCTCTCTGGTCTCTCTCTCTGGTCTCTCTCTCTGGTCTCCCTCTCTGGTCTCCCTCTCTGGTCTCTCTCTCTGGTCTCTCTCTCTGGTCTCCCTCTCTGGTCTCCCTCTCTGGTCTCCCTCTCTGGTCTCCCCTCTCTGCTCTCCCTCTCTGGTCTCCCTCTCTGGTCTCCCTCTCTGGTCTCCCTCTCTGGTCTCCCTCTCTGGTCTCCCTCTCTGGTCTCTCTCTCTGGTCTCTCTCTCTGGTCTCTCTCTCTGGTCTCTCTCTCTGGTCTCCCTCTTTGGTCTCCCTCTCTGGTCTCTCTCTCTGGTCTCTCTCTCTGGTCTCTCTCTGGTCTCTCTCTCTGGTCTCTCTCTCTGGTCTCCCTCTTTGGTCTCCCTCTCTGGTCTCTCTCTCTGGTCTCTCTCTCTGGTCTCCCTCTCTGGTCTCTCGTGAATATAATAGTGCTGAAAAACCATAAATATCACTCACCGTTGATGACTGGTGTGTAGACCACGATGCCGGCCAGGTTTGGGTCAGACACTGTTTTGTCCAGGATCAGTCCTCCAATACTGAGGGACACACCAGCAGTTACAGACCAGAGAGAGACCAGACAGAGACCAGAGAGAGACCAGAGAGAAACCAGAGAGAGACCAGAGAGAGACCAGAGAGAGACCAGAGAGAGACCAGAGAGAGACCAGAGAGAGACCAGAGAGAGAGACCAGAGAGAAACCAGAGAGAGACCAGTGAGAGACCAGAGAGAGACCGGAGAGAGACCAGAGAGAGACCAGAGAGAGAGACCAGAGAGAGACCAGAGAGAGAGACCAGAGAGAGACCAGAGAGACCAGAGAGAAACCAGAGAGAGACCAGAGAGAAACCAGAGAGAGAGACCAGAGAGAGAGACCAGAGAGAGAACCCAGAGAGAGACCAGTGAGAGACCAGAGAGAGACCAGAGAGAGACCAGAGAGAGAGACCAGAGAGAGACCAGAGAGAGACCAGAGAGAGACCAGAGAGAGACCAGACCAGAGAGAGAGAGACCAGAGAGAGACCAGAGAGACCAGAGAGACCAGAGAGAGACCAGAGAGAGACCAGAGAGAGACCAGAGAGAGACCAGAGAGAGACCAGAGAGAGAGACCAGAGAGAAACCAGCGAGAAACCAGAGAGAGACCAGTGAGAGACCAGAGAGAGACCAGAGAGAAACCAGAGAGAGACCAGAGAGAGACCAGAGAGAGACCAGCGAGAGACCAGAGAGAGACCAGAGAGAGACCAGAGAGAAACCAGAGAGAGACCAGAGAGAGACCAGAGAGGGAGACCAGAGAGAGACCAGAGAGAGAGACCAGAGAGAAACCAGAGAGAGACCAGTGAGAGACCAGAGAGAGACCGGAGAGAGACCAGAGAGAGACCAGAGAGAGAGACCAGAGAGAGACCAGAGAGAGAGACCAGAGAGAGACCAGAGAGACCAGAGAGAAACCAGAGAGAGACCAGAGAGAAACCAGAGAGAGAGACCAGAGAGAGAGACCAGAGAGAAACCAGAGAGAGACCAGTGAGAGACCAGAGAGAGACCAGAGAGAGACCAGAGAGAGAGACCAGAGAGAGACCAGAGAGAGACCAGAGAGAGACCAGAGAGAGACCAGAGAGAGACCAGAGAGAGACCAGAGAGACCAGAGAGACCAGAGAGAGACCAGAGAGAGACCAGAGAGAGACCAGAGAGAGACCAGAGAGACCAGAGAGAGACCAGAGAGAGAGACCAGAGAGAGACCAGAGAGAGACACCAGAGAGAGACCAGAGAGAGACCAGAGCATGGATCTATTATAATAACTGGATAGAGTATTACAGCTTTGAGCTGAAGGACCATGTGCTCGGGGGATTCTCACGGTACTGCAGACTAAACCAGACTAAACCAGACTAAACCAGACTAAACCAGACTAAATTCACGTGGGCTACCCAGACATTCTCCCATAGAACTCAATGTAAACTAAAACAGCTCAACCTCAGCTGACAGAGAACCTTAAAGAGAACCTGACAGAGAACCTGACAGAGAACCTTAAAGAGAACCTGACAGAGAACCTGACAGAGAACCTTACAGAGAACCTGACAGAGAACCTGACAGAGAACCTGACAGAGAACCTACAGAGAACCTGACAGAGAACCTGACAGAGAACCTACAGCTTTCATAAAGGTCAGATTTTGTGGGGATGTTAGTGTCCCGTGTCGTCCTGAACTTTGTTTCTTCTTAAATCCTTGGGTTTTGTTTAAATCCACACTTTAGTGCCACAAACTCTGCTCGTCTGGCTCTGGCTCTAACTCCCGCTCTGATTGGTCAGAGCCGAGCCCCTCTGTGCACGTGCGTGAGACCCTCTGTGCACGTGCGTGAGACCCTCTGTGCACGTGCGTGAGACCCGGTGTGAGACCCACACACGCGTGTTTGGGGCAATGCATTATGGGAGATCATCCACTGCACAGAACCGTGAGGACCAGACGATGCCCAAATACAGGAGAGTTTCCCATAGATCTTTGAGAGTTTCCCAAAGATCTTTGAGAGTTTCCCATAGATCTTTGAGAGTTTCCCATAGATCTTTGAGAGTTTCCCATAGACCTTTGAGATTTTCCCATAGATCTTTGAGAGTTTCCCATAGATCTTTGAGAGTTTCCCATAGATCTTTGAGAGTTTCCCATAGACCTTTGAGAGTTTCCCATAGATCTTTGAGAGTTTCCCATAGATCTTTGAGAGTTTCCCATAGATCTTTGAGAGTTTCCCATAGATCTTTGAGAGTTTCCCATAGACCTTTGAGAGTTTCCCATAGATCTTTGAGAGTTTCCCATAGATCTTTGAGAGTTTCCCATAGATCTTTGAGAGTTTCCCATAGATCTTTGAGAGTTTCCCATAGATCTTTGAGAGTTTCCCATAGATCTTTGAGAGTTTCCCATAGATCTTTGAGAGTTTCCCATAGATCTTTGAGAGTTTCCCATAGATCTTTGAGAGTTTCCCATAGATCTTTGAGAGTTTCCCATAGATCTTTGAGAGTTTCCCATAGATCTTTGAGAGTTTCCCATAGATCTTTGAGAGTTTCCCATAGATCTTTGAGAGTTTCCCATAGACCTTTGAGAGTTTCTCATAGACCTTTGAGAGTTTCCCATAGATCTTTGAGAGTTTCCCATAGATCTTTGAGAGTTTCCCATAGATCTTTGAGAGTTTCCCATAGATCTTTGAGAGTTCCGCTAATACAGTGGGGCAAAAAAGTATTTAGTCAGCCTCCGATTGTACCAGTTCTCCCACTTAAAATAATGACAGAGGTCTGTAATGTTCATCATAGGTTCACTTCAACTGTGAGAGACAGAATGTGAAAACACATCCAGGAATTCACATTGTAGGATTTTTAAAGAATTTATTTGTAAATTAGGGCGACAGTAGCTCAGTTGGTAGAGCATTGGCCTTAAGGCCTGAAGGTTGTGGGTTCAATTCCCACTTCTACACCTTCTCCACCGACTCCCACTGATGACTGCTGTCGTTGTGTCCTTGGGCAAGACACTTAACCCCACTTTGCCCAAAGCCCCCACTGAAAGATCAAGGCTATGCTCACAGTCAGAGAGCAGCCTCCTGTGGACTCACCACCTGCAGAGGGTCAGTGAGGGGCTGGTGCTATGAGACTTGGGTGGCATCTCTGACTGCCACCCCCCTGACCCAGAAATGGATTAAAGGGTAGAACATGGATGGATGGATATTTGTAAATTATGGTGGAAAATAAGTATTTGGTCAATAACAGAAATTCAACTCAATACTTTGTAATATAACCTTTGTTGGCAATAACAGGTCAAACGATTACTATAGGTCTTTACCAGGTTTGCACACACAGTAGCTGGTATTTTGGCCCATTCCTCCATGCAGATCTTCTCGAGAGCAGTGAACACGGACTTTCAACTCCCTCCACAGATGTTCAATGAGGTTGAGGTCTGGAGACTGGCGAGGCCACTCCAGGACTTTCAAATGCTTCTTACGGAGCCACTCCTTCGTTGCCCGGGCGGTGTGTTTGGGATCATTGTCATGCTGGAAGACCCAGCCACGTTTCATCTTCAAAGCTCTCACTGATGGAAGGAGGTTTTGGCTCAAAATCTCACGATACATGGCCCTATACATTCTTTCCTTAACACGGATCAGTTGTCCTGTCCCCTTAGCAGAAAAACAGCCCCAGAGCATGACGTTTCCACCCCCATGCTTCACAGTAGGTATGGTGTTCTTGGGATGTAACTCAGTATTCTTCTTCCTCCAAACACGATGAGTTGAGTTTATACCAAACAGTTGTACTTTGGTTTCATCTGACCTCATGACATTCTCCCAATCCTCTGCTGTATCATCCATGTGCTCTCTGGCAAACTTCAGACGGGCCTGGACATGCACTGGCTTCAGCAGGGGGACACGTCTGGCACTGCAGGATCTGATTCCCTGTCGTCGTAGTGTGTTACTGATGGTAACCTTTGTTACTTTGGTCCCAGCTCTCTGCAGGTCATTCACCAGGTCCCCCCGTGTGCTTCTGGGATTTTTGATCACCGTTCTCATGATCATTTTGACCCCACGGGATGAGATCTTGCGTGGAGCCCCAGATCGAGGGAGATTATCAGTGGTCTTGTGTGTCTTCCAGTTTCTGATAATTGCTTCCACAGTTGATTTGTTCACACCAAGCTGCTTGCCTATTGTAGATTCACTCTTCCCAGTCTGGTGCAGGTCTACAATTCTTTTCCTGGTGTCCTTGGACAGCTCTTTGGTCCTGGCCATAGTGGAGTTTGGAGTCTGACTGTTTGAGGCTGTGGACAGGTGTCTTTTATACAGATGAGTTCAAACAGGTTCCATTAATACAGGTAACGAGTGGAGGACAGAAGAGCTTCTTAAAGAAGAAGTTACAGGTCTGTGAGAGCCAGAGAAGTGACCAAAGACTTATTTTCCACCATCATTTACAAATAAATTCTTTAAAAATCCTACAATGTGAATTCCTGGATTTTGTTTTCACATTCTGTCTCTCACAGTTGAAGTGAACCTATGATGAACACAACAGACCTCTGTCATTATTTTAAGTTGGAAAACTTGGACAATCGGAGGCTGACTAAATACTTTTTTGCCCCACTGTATGTCAGCGACCGCGCCGGGCACGAAGTGCCACTGAGCACAACCATTGATTTGAATACGGCGCCATCTTGGATCGCCGGGGCTTGCTATAGCCTCAGTCCTGGGTCTACAGCCTCAGTCCTGGGTCTACAGCCTCAGTCCTGGGTCTACAGCCTCAGTCCTGGGTCTACAGCCTCAGTCCTGGGTCTACAGCCTCAGTCCTGGGTCTACAGCCTCAGTCCTGGGTCTACAGCCTCAGTCCTGGGTCTACAGCCTCAGTCCTGGGTCTACAGCCTCAGTCCTGGGTCTACAGCCTCAGTCCTGGGTCTACAGCCTCAGTCCTGGGTCTACAGCCTCAGTCCTGGGTCTACAGTCTCAGTCCTGGGTCTCACCTGCTGATGACCATGGCGGTGATGACGGGCTCCCATCCAGAGTAGAGCAGGGTGCGGCTGGCCGGGTGTTTGGACGAGATGACGATCCACAGCGGAGTCAGACTCATGAAGAAGGCGCACACCAGAGACGACACGTACGGATATGAGTCTGAGACCAGAGCGAGACCAGAGCGAGACCAGAGCGAGACCAGAGCGAGACCAGAGCGAGACCAGAGCGAGACAGAGGAACATGAAGAAAGTCATTTTGGGTTTTAGAGAAGGAGGAATGATACAAGTATGAAGGGAGGACAGAGAGACCAGAGAGAGAGAGACCAGAGAGAGAGACCAGAGAGAGAGACCAGAGAGAGACCAGAGAGAGAGACCAGAGAGAGAGACCAGAGAGAGAGAGACCAGAGAGAGAGAGACCAGAGAGAGAGAGACCAGAGAGAGACCTGAGCAGGGCTTTCTCAGAGTCCCCCTTGGGCTCTAAGGCCCCGACTCCAGCGGGTGCGTAAAACGGATGACGGATCCGTCCAAACATGTCCGTTTCATCTCCGTCTCCGTTATCTCCATGATGGTGAATGGAAGTGGCTCCACTGCCTCCAACAACCGTCTGACTGACGCACGTCAGACGGATTCCGTTAACGGAGGGTGCAACGGACGCAGACGGACGAAATAGAAAAAAGTCCTATTTGTTCCGTCGACGAGTGTCGGGTCCGTTTTCCATTGAAAATACAATGGAATAATATATTTACCACATTATTAAACATGTATCTGCTGTAGTCCTTGGTTATAAGTATTTGTTAATGACAATGATTATTAACAAACGTGTGTCATTTTTTTCATGTATTCATTTAAATAATTGTTTCCTGATCGTAAATCTACCATTTATTTTTCGCGTAATGTTAATCTTTATATAAACCTCGCTCTTTTTTCTCTCGCTCTGTCTCGTCTTCCTCCGAGGCCTACAAAAACTACCTCCGAGGCCTACAAAAACAAAGCTGCTGATAAACGCACAGCCAGAGCTGCTGCGGTTTGATCACTAGATTCAGATTCATTTATTTGCCATTTGCAGTAAAACCACATTGGAAAAACTGTGCAAGACTACCCCAGTGTGCACCAGGCGACACACACCAGAGCTCTTGCCACGGCGCCATCTTTATGGACGTCCGACGGACAGCAGCCAACGCGCGTCAACGGAGACGCGCCCGGTGGAGTCCAGGCCTGAGTGAGAGACAAACTCCAGTGTTCTGAAGAGTAATGAGCCTACTGCACCTCTGCACCAGACCCTGGTGGGACTGGAGGACTTACCCAGACCCTGGTGGGACTTACCTAGACACTGGTACAGGCCCTGGCTGATCCAGGCCAGAATTGCCAGAGTGATGAGGTCACCGAAGCTGGCGGCTATGGGCGTGGCCACGTTGTCCGGGTTTATCCCAGTCTTTTTAGAGCCCACAATCACACCGACCATGATGAACCCTGAGAAGAGAGGACCATAATGAACCCTGAGGAGAGAGGAGAGTGAGACAGAATGTGTGCTCCCGGACGAATGGAAATTTTACAAAAATAATTTTCAGAATCTAGGGAAATGTTTAAAGGAGACTTTAAAGGAGAGAGAAACCAGAGAGAGACCGAAGAGAGACCGAAGAGAGAGACCAGAGAGAGACCAGAGAGAGAGACCAGAGAAAGACCAAAGAGAGACCAAAGAGAGAGACCAGAGAGAGACCAAAGAGAGAGACCAAAGAGAGACCAAAGAGAGAGACCAGAGAGAGAGACCAAAGAGAGACCAAAGAGAGAGACCAGAGAGAGACCAAAGAGAGAGACCAGAGAGAGACCAAAGAGAGAGACCAGAGAGAGACCAAAGAGAGACCAGAGGCTCAGCGGCTGAGTGGATAGCACTCTCGCCTCACAGCAAGAAGGTCCTGGGTTCGAATCCCGGTCGGACCAGGGCCTTTCTGAGTGGAGTTTGCATGTTCTCCCCGTGTCTGCGTAGGTTTCCTCCGGGTACTCCGGTTTCCCCTACCACTAAAAATATGTACAATAGTTCTGGCATGCGCCTCCTGTACTGGCCCCGCTCCCATCTCTGTGTGGAGTGAGAGACAAATGCCCAAAAAATAACAATTGTAAACCGCTTTGAGACTCAGATCTGCAGTGAAAAGGCGGTATATAAATAAAGATTACTTACTTACTAGAGAGAGACCAAAGAGAGAGACCAAAGAGAGAGACCAGAGAGAGATGGTGTGCCCCAGGGTTCGGTACTTGGACCGATTCTTTTCACTTTCTACATGCTGTAGAACATCATTAGGAAACTTAATTAAAAAGCATGGAATTAACGCGTTTGCTGATCTGTAAGTAAGTAATGTTTATTTATATAGCACCTTTCACAGACCAGAGTCACAAAGCGGTTTACATTTGTTATTTTTTTGGGCACTTGTCTCTCACTCCACACAGAGATGGGAGCGGGGGGCTGAACAGGAGGCACAGACCTATTGTACATATTTAAGGTGGTAGGGGAAACCGGAGTACTCGGAGGTCCGACCAGGATTCGAACCCAGGACCTTCTTGTTGAGAGGCAAGAGTGCTATCCACTCAGCCACCGTGCCGCCCATGGCTCTCATGGCTCTCATGGCTCACATGGCTCTCATGGCTCTCATGGCTCTCATGGCTCACATGGCTCACATGGCTCACATGGCTCACATGGCTCTCATGGCTCTCATGGCTCTCATGGCTCACATGGCTCACATGGCTCACATGGCTCACATGGCTCACATGGCTCACATGGCTCACATGGCTCACATGGCTCACATGGCTCACATGGCTCACATGGCTCACATGGCTCACAGTCATGGCTCACATGCACATGGCTCACATGGCTCACATGGCTCACATGGCTCCATGGCTCATGGCTCACATGGCTCACATGGCTCACATGGCTCACATGGCTCACATGGCTCACATGGCTCACATGGCTCACATGGCTCACATGGCTCACATGGCTCACATGGCTCACATGGCTCACATGGCTCACATGGCTCACATGGCTCACATGGCTCACATGGCTCACATGGCTCACATGGCTCACATGGCTCACATGGCTCACATGGCTCCATGGCTCACATGGCTCACATGGCTCACATGGCTCTCATGGCTCACATGGCTCACATGGCTCTCATGGCTCTCATGGCTCACATGGCTCACATGGCTCACATGGCTCACATGGCTCACATGGCTCACATGGCTCACATGGCTCACATGGCTCACATGGCTCACATGGCTCACATGCTCACATGGCTCACATGCTCACATGGCTCACATGGCTCACATGGCTCACATGGCTCACATGGCTCACATGGCTCACATGGCTCACACATGGCTCACATGGCTCACATGATTCACATGATTCACATGGCTCTCATGGCTCTCATGGCTCTCATGGCTCTCATGGCTCTCATGGCTCTCATGGCTCACATGGCTCACATGGCTCACATGGCTCACATGGCTCACATGATTCACATGGCTCTCATGGCTCACATGGTTCTCATGGCTCACATGGTTCTCATGGCTCACATGGTTCTCATGGCTCTCATGGCTCTCATGGCTCACATGGTTCTCATGGCTCTCATGGCTCACATGGTTCTCATGGCTCACATGGCTCACATGGTTCTCATGGCTCACATGGTTCTCATGGCTCACATGGCTGTCATGGCTCTCATGGTTCACATGGTTCTCATGGCTCACATGGTTCTCATGGCTCACATGGTTCTCATGGCTCACATGGTTCTCATGGCTCACATGGTTCTCATGGCTCACATGGTTCTCATGGTTCTCATGGCTCACATGGTTCTCATGGCTCACATGGTTCTCATGGCTCACATGGTTCTCATGGCTCACATGGTTCTCATGGTTTACATGGCTCTCATGGTTCTCATGGCTCTCATGGCTCACATGGTTCTCATGGCTCTCATGGCTCACATGGTTCTCATGGCTCTCATGGTTCTCATGGCTCACATGGTTCTCATGGCTCACATGGTTCTCATGGCTCACATGGTTCTCATGGTTCACATGGCTCTCATGGTTCTCATGGTTCACATGGTTCACATGGCTCTCATGGTTCTCATGGCTCTCATGGCTCTCATGGTTCACATGGTTCTCATGGTTCTCATGGCTCTCATGGCTCACATGGCTCACATGGCTCACATGGCTCTCATGGCTCACATTGTTCTCATGGCTCTCATGGCTCACATGGTTCTCATGGTTCACATGGTACTCATGGTTCACATGGCTCTCATGGTTCACATGGCTCACATGGCTCTCATGGCTCACATGGTTCTCATGGTTCACATGGCTCTCATGGTTCACATGGCTCACATGGTTCTCATGGTTCACATGGCTCACATGGCTCTCATGGTTCACATGGCTCGCATAGTTCACATGGTTCTCATGGTTCACATGGTTCTTATGGTTCACATGGTTCACATGGCTCTCATGGTTTGCATGGTTCATATGGCTCTCATGGTTCAAATGGTTCTTATGGTTCACATGGTTCACATGGCTCTCATGGCTCGTATAGTTCTCATGGTTCACATGGTTCACATGGCTCTCATGGCTCTCATGGCTCTCATGGTTCACATGGTTCACATGGTTCACATGGTTCACATGGTTCACATGGTTCACATGGTTCTCATGGTTCACATGGCTCTCATGGCTCTCATGGTTCTTATGGTTCACATGGT